AATTCACGGGGTCCACGCTCAAAATAATAAATATGATGATCCTTAAATTCACGGGGTCCACGCTCAAAATAATAAATATGATGATCCTTAAATTCGCGGGGTCCACGCTCAAAAGCCCTACTTCTCCTCCATTCCAGTGCCGTGATTCGGTTCTGGCGGGCAATGGCATTTCGTGCACGGACTTAGGTTAGAAGATGAGGACGTAATTCTAATTTGTGATGCTTAGGCTATCTAAGGAGAGGACTTCTATGCCGGTCGTGATCTTTAAGATTGAGATTCTAGCACTGCATGCTGTAGTCAGCAGCTAGCATCTTCAGAAAGAACATCTTCGGTCATCCTTCTTGCAAAGAATTTCTAAGAACATAAGCATCTGCATACTAACTCAACGAAACTAACTTAACTACTAGACAAACTTCACAACTAGACTAACTTACCTAATTTAAAGTCAAAGTCATAAACTTTGCTGGTCATCCAGAAATTGGCGACGAAGCTGCTCCAGGTCCGGCAGAACGCGAGGGAAACGGTGCTTCACCAAGTCTTCGGCGTATTCTCGCACACGGTCATGATCCAGTCGCGCATGCAACACCCTAGAGAGTTTGTTGCCACGCGCGCCTAACTGAAAGTACTCCCACGACGCTGGGCTAGCCGTTCTGGACTTGAAGAATCGGTCAACGAGCGGTCTGCGGGCAGCGTTTTCTGGCGCGTTCAGTCTCGTCACAAACCGTTCTGCTTCCTGCACAACTTGGTCGTCACTGTGGTCTGCCACACCTGGTTCCTCCTCGTCAGCGTACTCCAAATCGCTCTCTACCTGGTCTGCTACTTCTGGTTCTGCTTGAGGGGCTTGAGGGGCTTCTTCTTCTCCTGCAGGAGCCTGTTGTTCACCTTGGCCTTCAACTCGGTCCTCTGCGTTTGTCATAGATGCCTCCTCACCCCTCTGCTCGGCCTCAACATTGCCACTGTTCTGGGTCCTCGCTGGAGCTTTTGCAGTGGTGTCTGTTGTGGATGTGCCAACAGGTTCTCCTTGCTGATCTTCGTCACGGAGCAAAGGCGTGGAGGACGGCTGACGCCATCGTCGGGAGCAGCACGTCAAAAGATTTTTCAGATCCTTCTTCAAAGTTGTTCGCAACGAAGATGGCGCAAGAGGAGGCTGTTCTTGAGTAGATGAATCTTCTTCCCGCAACGAAGATGGCGCAAGAGGGGGCTGTTCTTGAGTAGATGAATCTTCTTCCACACCTTGTTGTTGTTCTGCACTTGTTTGCCCATGGGCTGCCGGAGTCGTGACGAATACTGCACCTGCGTGTGACGTCATTCCAGCTAAGTGGCAGGTCAACCATGCCGGAAACAGAAAACTGTCCTTGCGAAAGAATAAGAGCCCCATGTTGATGATCTTGTAGAAGTGGTAGTTGTAGTGGTTATGCTCACCTAGATCTATGACGAGCGACAGAACTTTTTAGATGAGTCAGATATTTTTGATGTCAGTCAATAAGCATAAAGTACGATCACAAGGTTATGCAACCGCTTCTTGAAGATGCTGCTTCTCTATATCATCTTCACGGAGGTCGTGGTGGGTGACGCGCTGCAGCGGCAAATATGATCTTTTCTCGTGTCAGCCCTACTACCCGCATCATCATCTAACGCTCTTAAACCTAGAATCCGAGAACACAGTTTGATGTTAGAAGCAGTGTGCAGGGAATATGTCAGGAGTGGCAGTGCCCTCATGATCACGGGCGAGAATCTTCCGACCTCCAGCACTACTTCTTCACATGATGAACAACTATTAACTATAATGGATAACAATCTTATCGTATACAAAGAGTGTTCTTGAAAACTGATTTCGGTGTCCTTTTTCATGATTAAGTTGATAGGCACAAGCA